GCAAGTTGAGGAAATTGACAGACTGAGAGGTGAATGGGGGGACAGGCACCAGGTCCTGGCTGGAGGTAATAGGAAAACAAAAGTGCATCTTCTCGCCCTGCCTGGGTGGAGGGAATCCTGAGGGAGGCAGTTTGTTTTACTCAAAGGGACCCTAAAGAATTCTTTTTCTCCCTCCAATATCGATTGCAATATTATTTCACATTTGCATGTATCTGTTGTTTTAATCCCCTTGGTCTGTGCTAATCTCGAAATGGATTATTAATGGAGAAGAAAGACGGGGAAGGAGCGATTCATTTGCAGGAGTTGCTTTGCTGTGCGAGGAACCTAAAGATAGCAGCCCCCAGTTCCCTCTCTCTCTCTCTCTCTCTCTCTCTCTCTCTCTCTCTCTCTCAGTCTCGACTTTTCCCTGCGTCCTGAGCTTCTGCAACCCGCTGATCCCACTATCCCCATTGTCCCCGACCTGGCCTTCGGACTAAGGGAGTGTTCGGGACAAATTTATATTCCGGCTTTCTCCGATCCCACCGCCTCTGCGTTGGTGGGAACCCTGCGGGGCAGATGGGGAGGGGAGTGCCAGGGGCGTGCCGAGCGTGGGCTGGGGGGGCAACCTACCGGGGTGCGCACCCCTCGCAGGGACCCTAACCTTGCCTCCTCCAAATAGCCACCTTGAAGGGAATCTGGAAGGTTGCTGTTCTACCCCATGTTAAATACTTGCATGTCGGAACTCCCAGTGCTAAGTGTTGGGGCTGCCTGCTGCCACTTGAATAAGTACTGAGCCCAGAGTAATCAAATGATTTGGTGTTTTTAGTGGAAATACTTGAGAGTCTTTTTGGCCTTTTTTGTAAGTCAGATCCTAGGTGACCTGACATTAATATAGATGATAAAGACAAGTGACTTGTTAGCCATTCCACTGGGTCCTTGGACCTGAAGTTTTGCCTGTGAGTGTGTGTGTGTCCCCAGTGGCTACCTGGGCTCCCGGAGGGGGTTCTTGCCAAGATCACTCGGTGCAATGGGCTTCGACTTCCTCTGGAATGGGAGGGGGGCGGCTGAANTTCCTTGACCTCTCATACTTTTGTGTACCACTCACTCCTACAGAACACTCATTACAGTTGTAATTTTTCATGTATTTGAATAAATATTTGAATGTTTGTCTCCCTGGCTAGACTATAAGCTTCAGGCAGCAGGCATCAAGGTTGGTTTGCTTGCTACTGTACTCACAGTACTAACACAATGCCTGGCACATATTAGGTGCTAAACATATATTTTTGGAAGAAAGTAGGGGAGAAGGAAGGAAAGAGAGAAGTAGAGACAAATCTCAGAGAAAGGACTTGATAAGTCATACACATATGTAATATATGTATACATATATAAAATATTGAAAGAAATGTAAAACAGTAAATTGAAAATGTGTCTGACCCATGTTGGAAATCTTTAATTTTCTTTTTTATTATTAGTTTTTAGACTGACGAGCTTGACTGCTCCTCTTCTAAGATAATTTATCTGTAATGGGGTGGGCAGAAGATTAATTTATCCAGCTATTCTCATTGTAATAAATATTCAAGTTAAGAAAAGAGGTGAGTCTGAAACCAACTGTGAGAACTGACATTCTTGCACCCTAAAGTAAGAATTGGCTGTGGTCTTGCTGGTGACTATCCCACCCCTCTTCCCCCCCCAAAAAAATAAAAATAAACACACAAAATACAAAGCCGTTCACCTCTGGGAGTGTGGATGTGGCAACCCATGTGGTGGCTTTTCCCTCCTCTGAGTGCAATTGCCAGTGACTCTTACATTCAAAGTCTTGCTTTAGGCACACATTCAAAGCACAGTTCAAAGCAGTTTATCTTAATATAAGTAAAAGTCTAGTGTTGGATCAGGGTATTATTTGTTTCAGATTTCATCAGACTGAAAACAGGGGGCTGTAATATGTTAACAATATTAAAGCAGAAAAAAAAAATGGCATGAGGCTACTCTTCAGTCCTCTTGACACCTCTACCTTTACCTTTGCTTGGAAGCCCTAAGGTTGTGGGACTGGAAGTTTATTTGTTCTCTGAGGTTCACAAGCACTTTCACTCTTAAAGAAAAAAACAAACAAAAAAAAACCCCTCAGTTCTTTAAGAAATTGAGCCTGAACCATTGGAGGCTAAGAGATTTCTTCCTTTCCCGATAAATGCCTGTGCTCAGCATCCTCGAATTTGGCTGTCTTTATTTACTTCTATATTAGTTCCAATTATGTGCAGTGTAAACCAGCTTTTTGATTAACAAAACAGCAGAGCATTGGTTAAGAACACTTAAACTTCAAAAAAAAATTCCCCTGGGAAGTGGGCTCTGAATTGGTTAATAATGTGCAGTACTTGCTAAATTGCTGACTTCCAGATGTGGAAAATATCTTTCTTGTTTAGGACCTATGTAACCTGATTGGATTACGACAGAAGCGTCACATTGGAAGCTTTTGAGCGATTATTTCATTAACCATACAGTAGAAAGCTGTATTCTCCAGGAAATCCCTTCCATATTTACATAACCAATCCCTCCAGAGCAAAGGTGGAGTCTTTTCTTTTTAATTTTACTTTAATTGCAATATCAAAAAATATAGACTCCAAAACTTAGACCCCATGCTGTTTAATGCCAGGCTCTTCCTTCCCCGCTAAGTTCCTCTATGGCCTTTCTCTCTCTCCTCCTGGCTCGCTGCACACACTCACTCACTTTATAGCAAGGTCTCGGTGAGATGTAGGATTCAGAGATCCGCCAGCCCAGCGCTCTCTGCTCCTTACTTAGAGACCCCCATTTTTAAAATGCCAAAGTACTTTCCAGTTTGAAGATCCAATCCAGAAATTCATCTCACACACACACACATACACACTCCCCCTAAGATGCAGTTCACATGCAGCCTTTTTTTTTTTTTTTTTTAAAGCAGAGCTGTAGCTTTTTTTTGTCCCTGGTGAATAGCTTCTCATCATAACAGTTTATATCTGGATAANTTTTTTTTTTTTTTTCCCCTGACTCTGGCATCTAAAAATAAAAAAATAATAATAATAAAAGAAAAGGCAAAGAATTTAGTTCCAGAAGCTGTGTTGAGAAATCTACACAACTTCATGTGCATCTCCAATCTGGTCATTGAGAGAGATCTGCGTAAGACGAGGCAGCCTGGATTGAGGACCCGGGATCTTCCCCTTTAACTTTCACCCCTCAGAATCCCCCAGTTCAGTGAGTGGTGTGCACCGCTTTCCGCCCTGCGCTCCGTAGGACTCAGTGATGGGGCTAAT